GCTCAGTTGGAAGAGCATTGGGCTAGTATTCCAAAGGTCGTAGGTTCGAATCCCACCGTGGCCGGGCATATTTTTCAAGCTCGCCCGGTGTGGATATGCACTCAGAGTAACATCACAAACATAATATCTAAATTATTCATATATTGTAATTACTCAATTCTTTTCAATGATCTATTGTATTGGTAGCCGTTGCCGTCGCGTTGCCGTCCTAAAATCGTAAGGTCTCTAATGTAGCAACTTGAAGACATTTTCTAAGAATTTGTGACGTCAGTGCAATGGGTCTATAGTATGGGAATAGTATGGATATACTGGTGATGTAATCGCAAATTCCATAGTACAAATTTCACTATTTTTTCCAGTGCTATTGTCTCCACCTAGACTAGAACCAATCGTTCAAGGTATATAATGATACTACCGCCTAGGGCTGATAAATTTCACGTACCTCTAATCCATCAACAAAACGCAAGACAGTCGGATGTCTCAACGTCTTCAATCTCTTGAACTCAGCCTTTGCAACCTCATGCTATATTGCAGTTGAAGTAAGAAACAAGCATGTACAATTACTACTGACAGTAAACTTGAAATTTAGATGTAATTTTTGTACTTCACTTGGTTGAACTTGAATGCTGGATTTGGTAGATAATCCAAGTGAACACAGATCTATATACACAATTTTAAGACCTAACCAATTTTGACCTACTCTAGGTCTTGAAATTGTATATATATATATATATATATATATATATATATATATATATATATATATATATATATATATATATATATATATATATATATATATATATATATATATATATATATATATCCATATCCAAACTGGCATCTGATTGGAATGGTTAGTTCAAACACTGGATATTGTTTTCTTACCATGTTTTTATGGTATCCGGTTATGGATTTGGCCAGAGCCATTCGTCGCATCGCGCATAAGAAGGGCTCTGGGTACGAAAATGTGCCCCGGAGAGAAGAAAGGGCACAAGGCCCTGGGAACGGGGTTGGGATTATCTACCAAACCAACCATTCAATTTCAACCAAGTAAAGTGCAAAAGCATCTTAAAGTTTCAGGTTCACCTGCAATCCACATACCCGAACATCTATATCTACATAAACTTGCAGTTACAGCTCAACAACTGGCCCATGTAGCTCAGTTGGTCAGAGCACCGTACCAGGGCCGCAGGTTCAATTCCAGCCAGAAGACCTAGTGCTCCATTTATCACAACCATTCATGGTTAGGTCTTAAAATTGTGTGCAGTATACACAGGTGCATCTCAGAATATTAGAATACATTATATTTTGAAAATATTTCTTTGCACAAATTTCATTCAAAAAGTGAAAATTTTGTCATCTGCAAATCAATACATTTGTAATTTTTTTGTCTTAACATCGTATACGACAGGCTTGTGTACTGTACCAGGGGAGTTGCTAGAAGGTGTGGGGTGTGACACCCCCCTGAAAAATCTCAAAATAGCGGATTTGTTGGAAAATTCTTTTCGTTGTCAGCAAAAATATTTGACTGGCACTTAATTAAAAAGTAATAGTTGCAGCAAAAATTTCGATAAATTTACAAAAAATGTAACGAATTATGGTACATTGAACAATCCAAAAATGTAATGTCCGGAAAAATATTTTTTAACCCCCCTTTGTACACAAAGAAAACTAAACCATAGTCTATGACTGTACCTGATCAGGTGGAGAATTTTTCACATCAAAAACAAAAATTGAAACTTCTTCGCCAGTTCCCTAGCACAAAGAGATTATGTATGGTAGCACAAATGCAATGTAGAGTCATATGAACATTGCAGAGAAGGTAAATGAAGACAGGGATGGTCATTGGTAATGGGAAACCTCTTACATTTAGTGAACATTTGCGTTCAACCAAATAATATTAATAATACTCTGAAGCATGTTTTATTTTGAGAATTTGGATAGCAGGTTAAGAAATGCTGGTATCCACAATGGAAATTCCAATCTCAAACTCTATTGACCCAATAAAAATCCTATATAGCAGGGCTGCAAATTACTGTCGGACATCGGACAATGTCCGACTAAATTTGGCAAATGTCCGAGCAAAAGTAATTTTGATCGGACATTGGTCCGGATCACAAAAAAAATAGTCATATTATACATTTTTTTGCTGTGACAAAATCCGATTGCAAATTCACTCAATTTGCATTTTGCAATAAAATTTACGAGGCATTCTAGCATTTTACTTAACGTTGCGCCGGAATGGCTATACATACTTGTCTCGTGACATATCTATCTTGTGATGTATATATATCCGACCAAATTCAAGTTATGTCCGGCCAAAATTAGAAGTGATCGGACAAATGTCCTGTCAAGTCAAATATTTATTTGCAGCCCTGTATAGGATCATGTAGGATGCTGTATGATCCTATAGGATCCTACTCATGATCTTCATAGGTTATCCTATAGGAGAGCTTATTCTGCAGTCAGTTGTAGTGATTTCACACTGGGTCTCTGAACCTAATCCTGACCCTATCAATTAATCCGTTCTTTCCCAATGAATCTTCAGTGACGTGACATCACTACATTAACTGAGTGCAGAATAGTTTTTCCCCTGACCAAACTCATTCCCAGCCTCTTTCCTCTACACCCTACAGGAAAGAGCCTGGGAACAAGGTTGGGGTTTTGACAACCTGGGCCCAACCAGGATCCTCATGTTCCCAAAATATCCTAGTAAACCCTAAAGTATCCTATTGAATCTTATATGATCTTGTACAAGATCCTGCAGGATCCACCAGGAGTACCTCCAGCAACTGGTAGCGAAAGCAAGATCCTGGCTCTTATTCTCCAATTGATCTGAGTTCATGTTATAGTTTTCTTCTTCTTCATGTTTGGTAGAAACAGACTCCAGATTTGAAATCTTCAATACATGTGAATATCCAATTTGAGCAATAGACGGCCGGCCAAGTCATCAATTTGTACAACTTGATGGCAACTTTATGTTAGAAGCTGGTAACAGGCATTTTCTTATAGTTTAAGCCTTGGTGAACAAGACTGTGTGTGTTATCACTTCTGATTTTTGCTTTATAGCCAAAAATTTGAGAATTTTTAAATTTTGCCTATTAAATTACTATGATCGGAAAAAATGTAAAATTTCATGTTCTCTTATACGAAAAATAAACTATGCCACTAGAAAGAGCGTAAAAAA